AAAAATTCGGAGGCCCTTAGGAAAGGTGTGAGGACCCTTCCTTAAAAGGAAAGAAAAAAAAAAAAAAAAAAAAAAAAAGTAACGGGAATTATCAATTCTATAGCGTCATGATTCTATTTGTTTCCTGAGATGCACTGTGCATCTTTATGTCAGTGAGAATGAAATATATATATTCATATTCAAGCCAATGTTTCCCTTCTATTCCACGTCACAGCCTTCTGCAACCACCGATGTCTCGTAACTTGATTACACAAACTACATGTACAAACTAGGCACACACATTCTGTATTATATACTTCAAAATTCCACGGGTGGATGAGATTCGTTAACCTTGGTCGGCAACTCATCTAAGAGAAGGAAACTCTGAATTCAAACCCGGAGTGGGAGTCCTGTAAGATGCATACAATGACAATTCCTGCAACCAAACCCATCCCTGGTCGTCTTGACGTAGAGTCTTGCCACTGGATATGGTGGACTCGGACGAGAGAGTGAGGCTAGACGCTGCGCAACTCTTCTTCACTTTAAAGAAAGTCACCTGCGCAAGTCATCAGTCACCAGACAACGCGATGGTCCTCATCGATCCTCGACGGACGAAAATAATACACTTCAAAATGAAAAGAGAAATTACTATGATTTGAAATCAGTGTACAATGTAAGTTAAAAAATATGTCTGTAAAAAAATGGAAATACATTTCCTTAAAATTAAAGTTTTATAAAAAATGATACTTTTTCAAACAGCAGTGGACCCATTAACCCCAAATTGAGATCCACTGCTCTAGCTGATACAGATGTATCTCAATGTAACCCATTAACCCCAAATTGAGATCCACTGCTCTAGCTGATACAGATGTATCTCAATGTTGAGGGGAAAAAAACAAGGTGTAATAACATTGACACGCATCTGTCACAAATAAAACTGGCCCACTTTTGCCTTCAATAGACTCTGAATAACTATATTATATATACATATGGCAAACTGTCACAGTATGAGCGAACTCACGGGCAACCATCCTGATGACAGAACACTTGCTGATTTCTCCATTTACTGATCATGTTTTTTAAGGCAGGCATAACGAAGATCCCAGAGGCAGGCATAATGAAGATCTCCCAGGCAGGCATAATGAAGAGCCCAACACCCCTGTAGTTACAGGAACTAAGCGTCCATGACAGATCGGCCATCAAATCAGGAAACACACAATGTACAGATGTGTGTGTGTCTTGCACTGTGGGTCCTAACACCAATTTGTTTTTTGTTTTTTTCAAACAGTAATAAATCAGATATAATTTCCGTAAATGTACACAATACTAATGCCAATGTACACAATACTAATGCCAATGTACACAATACTAATGCCAATGTCAAATAAAAGAAAGCTGAAATGCATTTTTTTTTACTTTGGAGAGCTCAAGCCAAGCAAGCATGCATAAGATCATTAATTAATAAAATACTATAAATCATTTCTTGGTGAGAATTTGAATTTTTTTTAAACTGATGTGATCCCTGCTAGGCCGTTAAACACAAACAGAATAAACATCCACATAGTGATACAAAAAAAATCATGTGTAGTATTTCACATAATATATTAGTTACCGGTAGTTTTTAAATATGAATTAATACAAATTATCTGTTCCATCTTAAGGCATGTTCACTCTCATAAAGAAAGGGCGATTTTAAAAAATTATTTTTCACTTAACATCACATAAAAATACAAAAATATTAAAGAAAACCCAAATCTGATAGAAACCTTTGAGAACAAATTAAATGCTCCGCGGCATTGGCAGAATTCATTGGCCATGTAAGCCAACAGTTGGGTCAAGTGGCGATATTAGCCAACAGTTGGGCTAAGTTGCCATGTAATGTAAATGTAAGCCAACAGTTTGGCCAAGTGGCCATGTATGCTGACGATTGGGCCCAGACCAGCCAAGATTGACCCACACTCCATGCCAATCAGCTCTCTGATAAGTACATTTGGTAAAGGTAGACAGATTGGATTGAACATTTTCAAAGGATGCAATAAATTACTGTTAAAAATGGTACTTAAAATGAAGCGGTAAGATCAAATCTACTTGACAACAGCGTGTGACATCTTTTGTGCATTTCACAGAGACAAAAACCTCCTGGGTCCACAAGCCCATTTTGACAAATCTCAAGGATTCATTCATAGCACTTATCAAGGACATAACCCAGCCAACCCTCCGTAAACATAGACAAAACGTATAAATATAATATAGTGTATGTGCTAACATCCAAAAAAGATATCATGATCAAGACTTGTACAGTCTTCCGTAAACATTGCATCAACAAGAAGAAATGACGCCATACACACAAACAATGAACACAAAGCCCATCAACACAGAGGGGTGTAAGGGGCACACAGAACAACTGACAAAAGAGCTAGCTGCCCTTTCCATGGGTTGTTATAACCAAACAAAAGTTGATGGTTGGTTGTCACCCATTCAAATAGTCCCTTATTTTTCTCAACCTGGACAGCCTCACCTCCATAATACAGCCGGTCTCACGGGCTGCCACAATGCAGCCGGTCTCACTGGCTGCCATAATGCAGCCGGTCTCACTGGCTGCATACTGGCTGCCATAATGCAGCCGGTCTCACGGGCTGCCACTTACTAGCTGTCCTATGGGTACATATTGTCAAAGTTCGTCCCATTAAACTCTGATCAAGCTGTCAAAAACACAAACAGATAACAAGAAATTTCTGTTTGAAAGAAACCAATCTGAACAAAATCCAAGATCAAAGTTTTACATAAAATTGATTTGTAGATATTTTTGTGTGTAAATATGCATTTACAATTCAACATTAAAAATTTCCCCACATTATTGAATGTAAAATTCTTTACAAAAAAAAAAAAAATTTTTAAATGAAGACATTGAAATATTGACATAAAATGTACAATTAAAAAGTTGTTAACAATGTAGAACATAAAGATGTATGCAGGGGTGGGTCTGGCAGGGTCGGGTCTGGTAGGGTCGGGTCTGGTAGGGTTGGGTCTGGTGGGTGGGGTCTGGTAGGGTCGGGTCTGGTAGGGTTGGGTCTGGTAGGGTTGGGTCGGGTGGGGGGGGGCTGGTTGGGGCGGGTCTGGTAGGGTTGGGTCTGGTGTGGTCTGGTAGGGTGCGGTCTGGTAGGGTTGGTTGAAGACATTGAAATATTGAAATAAAATGTACAATTAAAAAGTTGATAACAATGTAGAACATAAAGATGTATGCAGGGGTGGGTCAGGCAGGGTAGGGTCTGGTAGGGTCGGGTCTGGTAGGGTTGGGTCTGGTGGGTGGGGTCTGGTAGGGTCGGGTCTGGTAGGGTTGGGTCTGGTAGGGTTGGGTCTGGTGGGTGGGGTCTGGTTGGGTCGGGTCTGGTAGGGTTGGGTCTGGTCAGGTCTGGTAGGGTCAGGTCTGGTAGGGTTGGATCTGGTGGGTGGAGTCTGGTTGGGTCGGGTCTGGTAGGGTTGGGTCTGGTCGGGTTGGGTCTGGTCGGGTCCTGTAGGGTTGGGTCTGGTAGGTTCGGATCTGGTGGAGTTGGGTCTGGTAGGGTTGGGTCTCGTACCCTTGGATTGTAAGTAAACAAATAATACGTTTTATGATACGATACTGCTGTCACATGAGAAACACTAAAATAATTGTGACAGTTCTGTCATGTGTGTGTGAAACTAAAATAATTTTGACAGTTCTGTCATGTGTGAGTGAAACTAAAATAATTGTGACAGTTCTGTCATGTGTGAGTGAAACTAAAATAATTGTGACAGTTTTGTGACAGTTCTGTCACACTCCATGTTGCTCACCAAGTGAGTGACACCCATGTAAATGACCCTCGTCCACTCTCCTAAAATGACATGAGAGCACTTTTGACTTCTGAAACTACATCAGCTATATATCTTTGCTAATCTCGCCAACATTTCAGCTCTATTCCATCCATAGCAAAGATCATTCATTTTGTTACCGTCACAGATTACAAAGTAGAAACAATTTTAGGTACATCAATACAGCAGATGGGGGGAAGGGGTGGAGATCCTGTGACATCAACGAAAAATTTCACCTGACATACACACGTCACCAGGTTGTTGCCGACACCTGGATTAACTTAATCCCCTAACGACATGAGTTTGTTCAGGAAGGGTTCACATCATTTGTTAGGAATGTGGTCTAATCCATCCATTGAAATCCATTTTGATTAAAATAAGCTCTGGAATTATTATTCAATAGGGGCAGTCATTCCTACCAGTTGTTATGAGGAATGCTTATTGCCTAAATGTAAGAGTCATTCCTACCAGTTGTTACGAGGAATGCTTGTTGCCTAAATGTAACAGTCATTCCTACCAGTTGTTACGAGGAATGCTTGTTTTTTTGGTTCCTGTAAAATCACAGGTTGTCTTGATGAATGTTGAGCATTGGTAGTTGGTCATCTTCTCCTCAAAGCCTTTGCATTTCCACAGTTGCCTTCCCTTTTTTCTTGCCCTTGGCCCCTTTCTCTGGTTCTTTCTTCCTCGCCCCTCCGTGCCCCCGCTTGGGGCCCCCTGATGGTATGGTGGTGAGGTCAGGGGCCCTGACGGGTTCAATGAGTAGGGGGGAGGATGAGGATGAAGCGGGTGCAATTCTTTCGATAGGTGTCAGGGGTAAGGCAGAACTTGAGTATGGAGGTGGTGGCTCCTGAAATGCAAAGACAATGAACAAAGAATGGTTATTATATGGATTAGTTATAGGTGTGGGAGGGACAATGAAGTCATTGTTATAACAATGGTTATTATATTGATAGTATTAAGTGTGATGGTGCCAATGAACTCACTGTTATTATATTCATTAGTTATAGATGTGGTAGGGGCAATGAACTCATTGTTTTAACAATAGTTATTATATTGATTAGTTATAGGTGGGGTAGTGTCAATGAACTCACTGTTATTATATTCATTAGTTATAGATGTGGTAGGGGCAATGAACTCATTGTTTTAACAATAGTTATTATATTGATTAGTTATAGGTGGGGTAGTGTCAATGAACTCACTGTTATTATATTCATCAGTTATAGATGTGGTAGGGGCAATGAACTCATTGTTATAATAATTAGTTATAGGTTAAAAACTGACAACTTATAATTATATAAATTGAAATAGTATTAGGTAAATGGTTGACTTGTTCTGACCACCTGTTAAAGGCTGATAAGTTAGAAGGTGATGAGCTGTGTGTTCATGTTAATCCCGTTGATTACAGTTATGAGTTACAGTGGTAAGAATATATTTGTCTGTTTGGCAATAGATTCTTGTCCAACGAGGGACATGAGAATATCAAACCCCTAACCACTTTACATGATGATGACATCATATTTAACAAGATTCAGCTTCAAATTGACGCCAATTCTTGTCTATATTTCATTTATTTTATAATACTTCACGTCTAGTTCATTTGAAGATATTATAACAAAATTCGGAACAAGGAATTAGGTGACAAGAAATGAGACATCTCTTCTGAACTGGGAATCATTCATAAGAAATGAGAACCCTAACCTAAACTAGGAATTATGTGACAAGAAAACCCTCAACTGAACTAGGAATAATTGATAATAAATTTATAAAAAACCCTCACCAGACCTAGGAATTAGGTGATAAGAAATGAGAACCCAAACATTAACTAGGAATAATTGATAAGAAATAAAAACCCTCACCTGACCTAGGAATTAGGTGATAAGAAATGAGAACCCTAACATTAACTAGGAATAATTGATAAGAAATTTATAAAAAACCCTCACCAGACCTAGGAATTAGGTGATAAGAAATGAGAACCCTAACATTAACTAGGAATAATTGATAAGAAATAAAAACCCTCACCAGACCTAGGAATTAGGTGATAAGAAATGAGAACCCTAACATTAACTAGGAATAATTGATAAGAAATTTATAAAAAACCCTCACCAGACCTAGGAATTAGGTGATAAGAAATGAGAACCCTAACATTAACTAGGAATAATTGATAAGAAATTTATAAAAAACCCTCACCAGACCTAGGAATTAGGTGATAAGAAATGAGAACCCTAACATTAACTAGGAATAATTGATAAGAAATAAAAACCCTCACCTGAACAATCTGTACTGTTTCACTAGTTGCTGGTTTTCGCTCTTCTACACTTCGGGCCATCGGCCGACGATTTCCCCCTCCTCCACCACTACCGCCGCCACCACCACCGCGACCTTGGTTCTGGCCAGAGGACGACTGGCCTTGTTGTTGCTGCTGCTGCTGCTGCCGATGCTGCTGTCGGCGGCGCTGCAATGTGCGTGGCAGGGTGAGCTGTCTGGCCTTGGGCTTACGTGGGTTAGAGCTTGGCGTGTGGACGGCACATATCTTAATGAAGGCCCCCATCACAATGATTAGGGCTATGCCCATCAGGAGAACTGCCCACCAGTGTTTCTGTGGGAAGACGTGGGGAAAAATGTTACATGCCAGCAATGACAGAGATCATAGGTCGGGAGGACATTTTGCAGCCATATAATATGTGGATGTTTATCTCAACAGTCTGGGAGACTTACCACTGCATCCTGGGGTGGGATAAGCTTATCATGACATACCATAATGCTCATCATGACATTCTATGAGGCTTAACGTGACAAAATCATGACATCTTATGATTAATTTTGACATAAGAACTTGTTAGTTATTTACTAATTTATTGTCTTTAATTATTTCATAATTATTTATTCTTTGACATTTATAACAACTGTTTAACAATAAACTGATGAATGAGTTCCGGAATAGAAAACCATCTCAGGGACTGACAAGCACCCAAATAGGATTGGAAGCCTGCCAAACAAGATCATTAACAAAATTCCCACTCAAATTCAAATATTTTCACACTGCCCCAATCTACAGGAAAACACAAAATCAACTTACCACAATCCACTGCTGAATATTCTCCAATGTTTCTGGACTAAAAATAAGATTTTTCAACCTGGCCAGCGGGCCGTCCGCATCCACACCCCGACACTTGTGGAACACGTCACAGTAGCCACGGAAATTGTCACACGGAGATCCTGAAAATAGGAATAGTTGGTAAATGATCAATTATAGGTTAAAGTGAGAAGCTTATGAACTAGATGTGTCCTTGTCCATTTGAACATGATCTACATAACTCTTTGGGCATGAGATCAACAAGTGGAGTCTCAAAGGTCTGAATTTACCACAATCTTCTTTGTCTTTGTACTCATAAGAATGGTCGTCCCATTAAAAAATTGTAATAAAAAGGGTTTCCTTGGCATGCTGATTAAACAGATGGCCCACTCACAGTATCAACTATGCTTAACAAAGCCATGCACACACTGCTCGGTGGTTCTTAAACATTTGGCAGCAACGGAACATTTGAACGTCTCTAAAACAGCTAAATATTATTGAAAGGCATTTCTCTGTGTTATTTCATTCCTAAATGTCAGAACCGCAGGCAGCTGCAAGCAGTCTGGTTCAGAAGGCTTTGTTCTCTGGGTCAATGTCAATTATCTAAGAGGTACTCACCTGCTGGCAGCTGTATGCCATCTGGTTCGATGACACTGGGATTTCCTGACCTCTTCCGGGTCACATTGAGGAGTAGGTCACTAAAGGCTCTGTTCTCTGGCTTGTCGATGGCAGTCTTGTCAAATGAGCTGACACACCTCTTAGTTTCTGGGTTAGCTGTGGGGGAAATATGATCATTGTCAGTTTTCATAAGCCAGTAGTTTCACTGTGGAGTAAAATGATTAATAATCCTAAGTTGTAATAATACATGCATGGGGATATGATTTCCCAATACTTTGGCACATGGTGTCAGCATTTTCCTATTCATATGTACAGTACACAATTATCATGCTACCTGGTTGTACTAAACACTGTCAACATTATGTGGCAACACAGGGGTTAATGTGTGGCAAATCAACTCAACTATTCTGACCACCTGGCTAATCAACTCAACTATTCTGACCACCTGGCTAATCAACTCAACTATTCTGACCACCTGGCTAATCACCTCAACTATTCTGACCACCTGGCTAATCAACTCAACTATTCTGACCACCTGGCTAATCAACTCAACTATTCTGACCAGCTGGCTAATCAACTCAACTATTCTGACCACCTGGCTAATCAACTCAACTATTCTTACAAGATGTATAAACGGTGTTTGCACCAAACAATGTCATCACTGCTATTGGAAGTTAGGGGGCCACCAAATTTTGATTAGGTTTCTGTGTTACAAGTTGCAATTTGATCACTTTCGGCATAGTAAACCTGACTAATATTGGAAGTACTTACTACAAGACACATAACACAATGGTAGAAGTGACTAATATTGGAAGTACTTACTACAAGACACATAACACAATGGTAGAACTGATTAATATTGGAAGTACTTACTACAAGACACATAACACAATGGTAGAACTGACTAATATTGGAAGTACTTACTACATGACACATAACACAATGGTAGAACTGACTAATATTGGAAGTACTTACTACAAGACACATAACACAATGGTAGAACTGACTAATATTGGAAGTACTTACTACATGACACATAACACAATGGTAGAACTGACTAATATTGGAAGTACTTACTACATGACACATAACACAATGGTAGAACTGACTAATATTGGAAGTACTTACTACAAGACACATAACACAATGGTAGAACTGACTAATATTGGAAGTACTTACTACATGACACATAACACAATGGTAGAACTGACTAATATTGGAAGTACTTACTACATGACACATAACACAATGCCTCTCTGCTTGGACCGTCATCTCCAAGGTCTGATGTAAGGAAACATTCCTTCCAATTGATTCTTTCACACACAGTTTTGTTGCACTCCTGTAATGGTAAATGTTACGGGCTAAATAAGAGAACGAGGAGTAGCTATATGTGTAGTGAGTGTATGTGGGGTTATGGCATGATGGTATGTCAGGTAAGTGTATGAATTAGAATTGTATGTGCTGTAAGTGTATGAGGTGAGAGTGAATGTGGGGTAAGTGCTTATGGATTAAGTGTATGAATTAAAATTGTATGTGTTGTAAGTGAAAGGTGAAAGTATGTGCAGTAAGTGTATTAGGAGAGAGTTATGTGCGGTAAGTGTATTATGTGATAGTGTATGAGTGTATGTGCGGGAAGTGTATGAGATGTAAGTGTATATGTTTGCTTGACAAACAATGGACTTTCATAAATATAAAAAATATATATACCCATTCGTAGAACTCTTTTGTATATATTTCAATAGTAGCACCATATTTTAAAGAATTAAGCACCCACCCTTCTGAAGAACCTCCATATTTTAAAGAATTAAGCACCCACCCCTCTGAAGTAGCACCATAATTTAAAGAAATAAGCACCTACCCCTTTGAAGCACATCTGAGCATCATCATTACAAGACGTGCCGTCTGGCTCAAGTCTTGGTGCTGGACACTCCGCAAACGAGTTGGTGGGGGAAAGTTAAGGTTTTTTTTGACAGACATAAAATTGGGATATTAGTTGGCATAATAGACAAAGTACCATAGTCTTTGTGAGAATGGAGCTGCACTACTTTAGATTCAAAGAGACCACTTGATATCTCTGTATTACCGTAACACTGTGTCAATGTACGTTCCTGTAATAAACATTGGGGATGCTTCGACAATAGGACAGGTGCTGCCACCTTCA